ACTTAGCCCAGAAACTTGGCACGAGCTCCCGCTGCTGACATCTCGAAACTGGGCCGTCGAAACTAATGCCTGGACCATTCCTTGTTTCCCAAATCTGGATCACAGCACACTGCCACGCGCACGGCACCTGGCAGCTGCGCACGAGCTCAGGGAAGGGAACGCTGCCTAGAAGCTGCCCAGGAGCTCCACCAGAAACCCAGAAAGCCGGAAACAGACGAGGTCCGCGCGGATTTCTGGGATCAGCACTAGAGTCCGCTTCCCTGTTGCGCGGAGCGCGCCGAGATCAGCGCTGGAGGCGCCGCCAGGGATAGGGTCCAAGCACCGACCCAAGCACTCCGCGCGTACCTCCGAAAGCTCATGCTTCTGGCGGCTCTGCTTCTGCCGGCCTAGCCTGGGAGGAAGGAGGAGAGAGGAAAGGAGTGAGGAAAGGGGTGAGGAGATGGAGACATGTGGTCTTGTTTGTTATTCGGCGCTTCGACGTTGGGCGGCAAGGGGGGGGGGAAGGGGGGGTCTGGCTCCAGACCTCTGCTTTGTGCGACTGTTTGAGACAGCGCATCCTATGGGGGAGGCTCCACCTGCTTGCAACAGGCGCCCCAAACAGCCGAGATCTACTCCATAGGGGGGGCGGGGGGGGGGGGCGAGGGCCCGCGCCGATCGGCAAAACAACGAATAAGGAAACGCTCACATATTGAGTCGGCATCAGATCGGGAGATCGACTCGAAGCAGAACATGCCTCGGAGCGGGCGGCACCCGGCGCGGAGCCGGCAGCGGGCGGGAGCGGCTGCGCCGGGACCGTCAGAACACGGCTCGGGATGGAAAGCTGGTCCTGGGGAGAAGCCTGGAGTCAGGTCGGCCGTGTCCCCCATACAGGCGGATTTTCGACGACAGTAAAAAGTTACGTGTCGGCCGAGTCCACAAATAATCGAAACATCGTCCTCAAACTATTTTCTTACTGTGTTTGAATATTCCTCCTGTCGAGGGACGCGCCCGACTTCAGCCTGGAGGAAGAAAAGAAGGCATAAACATAAACGTTCGCCGCTCCGCGCGGATTTCTTGGATCGGCGCTGGACCCCCCTCCCTGGCACGCGGAGGGCGCCAAGAAATCCGCGCGGACCGCCGAAAATGTATGTTCATGCCGTTTCTCCTCTTCGAAAGCCCCAGTGTCCAGGACCCGTTCCCCTCAGGACCCGTTTGCCGCACTAGAGAGCAGGACAACCACCCTCAGAATAAGCATCCCGACAAGCGAAGCCGTTTCGTAAACGCCCCGAGGGAAGAAATCGAACAGGACAAGGCTGTTTCATAACCGCCCAGTGCTGTTTAGCAAACGCAATTCATAGGGATCGGGTTTTTTGTCCTTCCTCGACTGCGGGGACAGCAAGCGACCACAACCACATCGAGGATACGCCGGGGATGTCTTGGGCATGCCAGCGATCGTCCGAACACCGAAACCAGCTTAGTACTGCTTGTGGTCAACGTGGGCGCCCAGGACGACCGAATCGACCACGACCGATGCCAGCGGGTTCTCCCCCGAAGGGCCCTCCAGAAAAATCCCCTCGGCTCTGGTTGTGGTCTTTTGCTGTGCCCAGACTTGGACGGTTTCCAGCAGTCTTCGGCGCAGTAAGCTGGACGGCTGCATCCAACAAGGGGTCCATGATCGAATGCTTGCAGCACGGGGACAGCGGGCCCTGCGTGAGACGGGCCCTGGGCTTGGGCCCTGGGGCCTTCCCCCGGGACGAGCTCCTTGTCCTGGGTCGTCTTCGGACAAGCCCCGGGGGGCCCGTGTCGACTGCTCGCAAGAGTGACCCTGGGCAAGAGTGACCTCTGGTGCGCGACTTTTTGGGGGGGCCGCGGGGGGACCCAACCTGGGCGCGCAAGCAGCTGCTACTGCCTCGTCTTCAGCCACCTGGGGACCCATCTGCGCCCGCACCAAAGGTCACTGCGGCGAAAGGTCACTCCTACGTCTGGTCGCCCGTGGCGGGCCCCGAGAGCCCCCAGAGCGGCGCAAAGCCTCGGGACCCATTGCCCTCGGCACCCGCTCCGCGCACCCGCGGAACCGCAGCGGGCGCCGCCGGTGGCCCCCCCGGGCACGCCCGCCGCCGGGCCTGCTTGGCGCTCTCCTGCAGGCCGTGCAGGCCTCGCACCGCCCTCTGCCGGACCTGGCTCTCCCTGGCCTGGCGGGGCGCGGCGCGGCGCGGGGAGCCTCTGCTCGACGAGAGCGGCGCCCGTGCGCCGCGCCACGTCTCGGCGGCGAAGACGGGATTATTAGCATTACGATTATTATGACTATTATTACCATCATCATTAACATTATTATTATGGTTATTATTAGTAGTATTATTATTATTATTATTCTTATCATTATTATTATTGTTATTATTATTATTATCATTATTATGATTATTATTATTATTATTATTATTATTATTAGAAGCCGTGTGACGCGTACATGAGCAATGGAAAGGGGCCAGCGAGATCGGCCCCGCTCTCGCGCCGTGCTCTTCCAGAGTCTCTCGGCGGCGAGTCCAGGGGGTGAGAAGAAAAAGTCCTTGTCAGAGGGCGGCGGGGTTTCTCAGGAGCCCTCCGGCCTTCTGAGGGGTTCTCTGCTTTTTCGGGGAAAGTCCAAGAGATTTCTCAGAATGCCGGGGCGCTTCCGAACCTTCTGAAAAGGCCCGCCCCTTTTCACTTCCCACCCCCCGCTCGCCGCCGAACCATGTCTGGATTCCTTTTCAGGCCCCGCCCCAAAGCGGCTGGGTGCATAGTTTTTCGGTTCATAGGGGCCGAAGAAGTATGCACCGGGTCGTTCGTGAGTCGAGGATCGAGGACGCCTCGGGAGAGGCCAACGCGGCACGGTGCACAAAAGGCGCCCGCGGTTTCTCTTAACGAACGGACAGATACATTAAGTCAGCGGCGAAGAGTATCCTCAAGCGCGGGCAGCAGATGAAGGTGCGAATTAGCTGCGATCGAGCGTTATCCAAAGGCACAATGTACAAAGCGTGAACACTGTCAATGCAGCGATGAGTGGTGTGAAAGAGGAGCTGCAAATCCAAACTAAGCATGAAGCGGCCCGAAAGCCGGGGAGGCGACTCAACCCGAAGTAAACTACAGCGCGAATAGTCTGGTGCGAAATTGGCGACCACTGGATCACGCAGTGAAGCGCAAAGAACCTGAAATTGCTGCCCGACCAGCACACTGGCGGGGCACAGCGGCGCGCTCAGAAGTCCTGCGGCGGGCACAGCGGCGCAGATCTACGGAGCAACAACGCAAGAGAACCTGACACAACGCCTAAATAAAGAAAGCTGCATATATTGGTGGAAGCGACATACGCGGCACACATGGAAACATGTATATGCGGGGCCGAAACCAACCTGATGAAGCCATGCCGAAAAATCCTTGGTGGATAGCCACGCCACCAAGAGAGGCCAGTGTCAATGACACGTCCGATTTGGCCCAAAAGGCTGCAATAGCAACGACCGAATTGATGGGTAGGGTACGGGTGCAGCAATAGATCGAATGCCGACCGTGAATCGAGCGGACGGGTACAAGCGCGAGGTGCACTGTTCGCACCGACGTCTCAGTCGTCACCAACTCGACCCAGCACGCCCTGTAAAAGAGGAAGAAAGGGGGAAAGGAGGAGGATGCAGGATGCAGGGAGGCACCGTCCTGCCGCGAACGCCATGCGAGCACGCGGAAGAGGCTCCACCCCCCGCGGCGGGGTCGACCCCATAACCGACGAACCACCGCGGAGGGGAGCGCCGCCTGGGGTGGCGGGAACGCCGCGCCACTCCCGACGGCAAACAAAGCACAGCAGGCCAGACCCCGTACTTGGCCACAACCGTCACTGACAACGGGGGAGGCGGAGAATCGGCAAACGGGGAGATCCATTAACGGCGCGAAGGAGCGCGCGAACACCCGTGCCGAAAGGGACACGACAGAGCAGCTGAACCCCCCTGCGGTGGGGACGACCCAGAAAGAAGGAGAGGGGGGGAGAGCGCAAGCAGGAGCAGAGGCAGAAGGAGAGCCCGAGAGACGACGGCGGGGGACCCCACGACGCGGCCGAGCCCACGACCGACGACGGCGGCGACCGAGCGAACCCCGCGACGCAGGAGGAAAAGGAAGGGACCGACGAACCACCGCGCAGGGAAGCGCCGACAGGGGTGGCGTGCTCCCGCGCCACCACCGACGGAAAACGGAACGCCACAGGGCCGAAGGCCGGAAGTGCCTTAAGCAAGGGTGGGTAAGGAGGAGGAGGAGGACGAGGAGGAGGAGGAGGAGGAGGAGGAGGAGGAGGGGGAGGAGGGGGAGGAGGAGGAGGAGGAGGAGGAAGAAGATGGGTACTGCGAGAGATGGTTAGGTCCCAGGCACACCCGGCGCCCTTCCCATTAATTACTGCGAGAGTTGACCAGGTGCCGCGCACACCTGGGTGACAAGTACCGCCCTCCACTCGACCTGCCCACTATCCCAACTGTCCCTTCTCACCCGCCTTCATGGTACTGCAAGAGTTGATCAGGTGCTGCGACATCGCGCCGCGTTCCCCATCAAAGGAATGTGGTAAAGATACACATGCAACATAAGCTGGCGCCGCAATGGAAGCTAGGAAGTGAGGAGAGTTCGAAGAAGAGACAGAAAACAACACAGACAGGCAGACACACACACACACACACACACTTAGAAGGGGGGTTACCGTACCCCGCGCCTCTCGACCTGAGGCTGCGCTACAGGTGTGGGTGCGGCTTGTAGGACGCCGAGGAGGCAAACACGCGCCCGCAGCCCATCGAGAAGTCCACCCCGACAAGTCTGAGGGTCCTACAGGAATGGGTGCTATTTGTCAGCTCATGATCTTCTGGCATTTTCCCAACAGTCTCCGACCAAGACTGGCGATGGGAATGCAGAGGAGTTGCTTCTGGTCACTTCACGTGTACAGTTGGTCTTGATAGGCCGGAAGTGTTGGGTCATTTGTTTGAAAACCTCACTGTGCACTGCATCTATCCGCGCCGCCTCCAGTCTCATCGTCGACGATGCCCGTTCGATGCTGCACCATAGGCGATTTTGCCTGAAGAGCCCTTTGTGGGCGAAACGCGAAGCCTCTCTGTTTTCGCTTCAGACTGGATCTGCAACAAGAACAAAACACGAGAGGAGTTTGGCGGCGAGTCCAGGGGAGAAGACCGAAAGTGCGGGGCTCAGGGGGCTCAGAAGGCCTCCGCCGCCCTTCTAAGAAGCATTATGAGCCTTCTCCGAAGACGCAGACGGCTTCTCAGAAGTCCTGAGGGCTTCTCAGAAGTCCCGAGGGCTTCTAAGAAGCCCCACCGCCTTCCGAGAAGGCCTGCCCCCTCTCACCTCCCTCCTGGACTCGCCGCCGAGAGACGGGGTAAGAAGAAAGACGAAGCCAGGGCCGAGACAAAATCGGACCGGGACAGATCAGGGATCCCTGAGATCTGGCGGTTCTGGAGGATGTATAAATCGCCTCGGCCGTTCCAGAGCGCTCCGGAAAGCTCTGGGAGCGTTCCGAAACGCTCTGGAACGATTTATCCAGGCCCAAGTCCGCCTGAGGAAGATGAGGCAGGATCTCAGAAATCGGAAAATCGGACTGGATCGGAGCGTACATCGGAGCGAGCCGCATCAGCACGGAGTCGAAATCGAATCGGATCGGCCGCGCCAAGATGCAAAACAGCGCCACGCAAGCATCAGGCCGAATCGAATCGTCGGAGTTTCGGAGATCGGAATCAAATAGGACCGAGCCGGCTGAAATTGATGTCGAACCAGATCGATCGAGTCGACATGGATGCTGAGAGGACACGAGGTCCGTAGGATCGGAGGACGAGGTTGAAGACGACCATGACAACGACGAGGGCGACGACGACCATCTGCATATCGGATGTTTACCTATGCCTGGTTCTGACGGCGTCGTGGTCGCAGGACAACAAAGGACCCAGGTGGAGGAGGAGGAGGAGGAGGAAAAGGGGAGGAGGAGGAGGAGGAGGAGGACGAGGAGGACGAGGAGGAGGAGGAGGAGGAGGAGGAGGAGGGGGAGGAGGAGGAGGAGGAGGAGGAGGAGGAGGACGAAGAGCTGGGCCTCCAGGCCCGAACCACGGAGTCTGCGGCGCGCTGCAGGCGCAGCTCCTTGCGGCAGTGCTGTGGCAAAAGCGACGCGTTGGATACTGACAGCTCAAAGTAATCGGCCCGCCGCCTCGTGACTTCGATTCTCTGTGGCCGTCTGGCTGCTGCTTATCCGCATGGGCGCCCTGCTGAGCAGGGCCGGGAATTGCGCGGCGTGGGGTGGGTTGCTGCTCTGCGTCGCGAAGCTTTTACTCGGTGTGCCGCGGGAGCGTGGGAGGAGATCATGCCCCACTCTGCTCCCATGGAAGAGGAGGAGGAGGAGGAGGAGGAGGAGGAGGAGGAGGAGGAGGAGGACGGGGGTGAGGACGGAGAGGAGGAGGAGGAGGAGGAGGAGGAGAAGGAGGAGGAGGAGGAGGAGGAGGCCCCTTGCACAGGTTGGTGCTTCGTGGACCTGCCGCGCGCCGTACCTCCGGCGGTGCCCCAGGATCGATCTCGCGACGAGGCAGCTTTTTGCACTGGGCCTGTGCTCTCGCTTCTCTCTTCGGCGGCGTGCTGCGCGACGCGGGCGCGTCGCTCCTCCGCCTCGTTGGACGCATCCCCAACGAGTTGCCTTCCTTGAATGGCGGGAAATGTGTGGGGGTCGAGAACGTCTCCCACTCACGCCCTCTGATTTTCTTGTCGGGCCTCCGGGACGAGCCCCTCGTCCATCGACAGCTGGGTGTCTGTCTATGTCTAGGTGTTGGACTCTCCCAGGCACCTTGTGTACACTGCAGGGGGCCACGTCCCCAATTGTGCGCAGGTGTGGTGCCAGGGCAGCATCACCTCATTATGGCATTATCGCTCCCAACCGCACACAGCCGGTCCAGGGCCCTCCAATCACTCGGAATGCCCTTAGTCCTTATCCCACCCGTGGGTTCGGGCACCCCACGGAGCGAGCCTTTGGACACTGTCCGCAAGGGAACCCTAGCCCCTCTCGGGCAAAAAACTCACCCCACATCCGTCCCCCCCCCGCAGTGGCTCGTATCCTTTACCATTCTGTCGAATCACCTCTCGAGCCTGAGCGTAGCCCACGTAAGGTGCCGCCGTCTTGAAGCTCTCGTCGAGCTCTAGCTGGTGGAATGGGCCTCGAACCTCCAGGGGGCGAAGCAAACAGCAAAAGGGTCAAGGAAGAGTCTGCTTACATCCCCCCTTCCTGGAGAACGGGGGGAAGACGAAGGCGAGCGCAAGCGTAGGACGGGAAGAATGACATGATAGGATTGGCTCAGGATGCGCTTCGGGACGTCCAGGGTATCCAGCGGCCCCCGTTCCTGCAGCCCCCATGGAAAGTCAGGGAACCTGGGAAACCATGGACATCCTAGAGATCCTGCCATTCTCGTGACCGCCCCTCCGAAAGTGGGCGCCGTCCTCCTCGGCCTGCTTCCACTGCTGGTAGGAGGCCACCAGGTCCTGTGCTGGGGTCGGGATCCACCAAGGTGGGGGGGACCCTGAAGGGGGGGGGCATGAGTTCGATTCACTGGTGCACCGAACTGCCGCAAACAGGTGCTCCCCGCATGACCCACCCGTCAGCAACCATCGGGAGCTGCCGGCGGCTGGGGGGCATCTGTTCTGGGCGGTCTGGTGCAAAAACCGATGGAACTCTCTCACACACACACAAACAAACAAACAAACAAACAAACAAACACGCCAGGACAACCCCCTCCCTTGCATTAGGTCGGGCGTGTCCCCCTACAGGCGGACTCTAGACGAAAGGTAAAAAAAACACGCAAAACATATTCCAAAATACACAAAATGGTAGAAAAAACGTCCCCCAGACTACTTTTGGACTATTCTTGAATATTCCCCCATGTAGAGCGACAGGCCCGACTTAACCCTTGCGGATTCCCTTTGGGGGGGGGGGGGGCCAGACCACGGCGGAGGGGGCCGCGCGGGCGTCGGAGGAGGAGGGGCGGGCCGGGACACGCAGGGCCGGGGGCGGAGGGAAAGGGAGCGAAGGGGACGGGGGAAGGAGGAGGAGGAGGAGCAGGAGGAGGAGGAGAGAGGAGAGAGCAGAGAGGAGAGAGAAGAGAGGAGGAGGAGGAGGAAGAAGAGGAGGAGGGGGAAGAAGGAGGAGAAGGAGGAGGAGGAGAGAGGAGGAGGAGGAGGAGGAGAACGAGGAGGAGGAGGAGAGAGAAGAGAGGAGAGAGAAGGAGGAGAGCCACCATCTGAAAAGGAACCGCCCTCAATCCGTGAAACTCTTGCAAATGTTTGAAACGAGTGTGCGCGGGGTTAAAGCGAGAAGCACATAGAAAACCACCTGTCCCCAATATGTGAAACTCTTGCACATGTTAAAAACGAGTGTGCGCGGCGCCAAGGCGAAAGTCACATGCTGAAAAGCACCTGCTCTCAATCCATGAAACTCTTGCCAACCTATAAAACGAACGCGCGCGGCGCTAAGGCGAAAACCACATGTTGAAAACGACACGCCCTCCGTCTGTGAACCTGCTGCCAGCTTCTGGGCGTCGGGCTCACACGTGGTAAGGAAATATCAGGCGAAAACGTCTGGCCCGCCCTTCCGACTGGTCTGGGGGTGCGACAGGGATGAGCTATTCATACTGAGAAGGAATGAAGGAGGAGGGGGAAGCTATTCATGTTTTCTATGTTTCACGTACATGTTGTTATGTATGTGTTCACATACAGCTTTGTCCCCTCTCCGTCCTCTGTGTTGCTTCTCTCTCTCTCTCTCGCTCTCTTTCTTCTCTCGTTCGCTTGTGCTTTGTCTCGCGTCATCCCATGTGTCACCCATGTGGCGCCCCAGCGCCCCCCTGCTGTGCCCCCGCGGCACCACGACTGCAGGCCGAGGAGGGGGTGGAGGAAGGAGGAGGACTCAGAATCAGAACCATAGCAGCTGCGCGGGAGCAGGGGAGAAGCCAGAGGGGGAGGGGGAGGAGCGGGAGGGGCAGGAGGAGGAGGGTGGACGGAGAAGGAGGAGGGAGGGGGCTCGGCAAAGGGTAGATCTGGGAGATGGGCGAGAAGGGGGAAGGAGGGGGTGGTCAATGAAGGGGCCCTGGGACACACAGACAAATACACACAAATAACAGGATTCCCCATATTTTCCTGTGTTTTCCGGGATTTTGTCTTCCCCCCCCCCACACTTCCCATACTTTCCCATTTTTTCCTGGGAGTCGACGAATAATTGTGCCTGTGTGTCTTTTTCCCTCCAGAGAGAAGGGGGAGGGAGGTGGTGGTCAAGCTAGCCAGGACGAGCGAGGGACGACAGCGACGCTCGGCCAGGCGGCACCCCCCACCGCCCGTGCCCTCGCCGCTTCCGGACATCCCTCCGCTCCCCTGGGGCCGGAAGCCGGCCCAAGCCGCATCGCACCGCGAACTCGGGTCGGATCGGAAGGGTCGCGCCGGGATCGACGCGGAGACTAGACGAGCGCGTTGCACGACTCGCAAGGTCACTGCTCGCAAATGGCCTGAATCCCCCGCGGGGAATCTACGAGAAGTTGCGTCGAAGCAGACAGGTGGTTTGCGGACGTCTGCGAGCAGGCACTTTGCGAGTAGTGGAACGCGCTCGGCGAGAGACGGATCGGGCTCGGATCGGAGCGTGATCGCAGAGCGGGCTTCGGCCCCGGCGGGACGGAGAGGTGACGTGTTCGCGTCGGATCGGATGCGGATCAGGCCGCGGTCAGGGCCGGAGACTGCGGATGGGCGCGGAGCGCGGGTCAGGACCGAGGGAAGCCCTGGAAAGGCATAGCGGGCAGAGAGCACCCTGGACCCAGGCCCAGACAACGAGAAAGACGCGCTGGGCGGATGCCGGGAGCACGTGCCCACGCCACGGGGAGCTCCTCCCGGAGGCACGCGGGCCCTCGCGCACGCACCTCTGCGCGCGGCGAGACCGGCGGCTGCCGCTCGACACCTCTCCAGCCCGGGGCCAGAGACCCAGGGGACAGAAAGGCTACTGTGCTGGATCATTTCCCTCGAAAAGAGGCTCGAAACCGACAAACAAAAAAAAAAAAAAGAAAAACGTTCCGAGGCGCCGAATTGGAAAGGCACGGCCGGGTCGACCCCATGAGAACACGCACGCGGAACGGGGGGGGGACGAGCACATCGAGTGGAACAAGAATGGGAGATCGAGATGTATCCAACGTTTGCCAGCGTGGACCACACACGGTTAGGTGTTGCTGGCTATGGGCATCCGCGCATGGCCACCTCCCGTGCGCCAAAAAAAAACATCCCGCCCACCCACCCGCAAACACCTTGTCGGCTGGGCTCCAGAAGCCGTGAGAGCAGTTACACAGTGGAACACTTTGGCGAATCTCGAGAAGCGACATGATGCGCGGATCCTGCTCGTGCAGATCCACGATCCGGACGGATGATGATGGTGACGACGACATCGGCGACGACGATGACGGTGATGGTTATGGCGATGAAGACGAGGGTAGCGACGACGAACAATGACGACGACGGTGGTTGTGATGGTGATGAAAAGTATGATGGTGATGACGATAACAATGTTGATGATGGCAGTGGTGGTGATTATGACGGTGGTGGCAACGATGGTGGGGTGATGGCGATGATGATAACGATGATGCCGATGAGGATGATACGAATAATGAGGAACTGCGCGTGCGTACAAATTCTGACACGAATGATGAATATAAGACGATCGGTGTTCATGTGTTTGAACACCTCGAGCTTGAAGCATGGCCTCATTTGACAGACTGGCACGACATGTGCTTCTCATGCTTTCCAGACAACAATAAGCGTAGAAGAAAGAGAAAGCGTAGGAGGAGGAGGAACGGGAAGGGGACCCCTTCTGTCACGGAGGGCCTCCGCCTCGCCAAGGAATTGCCCCTTCTGTCACAGAGGGGCAACACTCTCACCGAATTTCGGGTTTTTGAGAAACGGAGGCGCGCGACAGCTAAACCACACGTGTGCGTTCGTGGCTCGCCTCGTACGATTTGACCCAAGCTCATTGGAGTTGCACTTGTAAGATCCGAACGAGCGTTCCGCATCGTGTCATTTGGCAAAGGTGAAAAGGGGGTCTTCGGGCGACTGGCTGTGATGGTATTTTCTGCTTCAACAACAGAAGCACTGAAGCACGGAAGCACGGAAGCACGCCCGCATATGGGCACCCTCTAGGGTGCTGCGGGTGCGGCGCCGGAGCGACGGAACGTCAGAAAGCGAGGCCTGATCAGATGTCTTTCTTGCCCGTGAAGCTGGAGATCATGCCCTTGAGGCGGAGGTCAAAAAACGGAGGTGGAAGCCTGGATGGTGGTAGCTGGCGGCGACTGCTGTGAATCTGAAGCTGAAGGCTGGGGGTCGGCTGCTTGAACAACGGATATGCAGAATATGAATATGAGGAACAGAAACGCGGAGGGGCATTCAGCTTTCACTCTGGCCTCGGCGTGGGGGGAGAGTCCGATACTGCTCCTTCAGGCGATGGCTGCACTCAGGAGCTCCTACTCGTCCTACTGAGTGCTCGGATGGGTCCCTCGAGGGATCCCCCGCGTCGCCGCCGCCTGCCGCCCCGCTGCCGCCCACGCGGGGGGCCCGTCGGCGACGAGGCGGCGACGAGGCGCCCACCGTGCGAGGCCCAGGAACGCGGGCCAGGGCGCGAGGCGGCGACCAGGGCGGCAAGAACGCCGGGGCGCGAGGCGGCGACAAGGCGACAAGGCGACCGTGCCAGGGCGCGAGGCGGCGACCAAGGCGGCAAGAGCGCTGGCCGGCGCGGAGGCGGCGGCGGGGCGGCGACAAGGCGGCCACCGTTGCGCGGAGGCGGGGCAGGCAGGCCAGCGCGCGAGGCGGCGGCGGGGCGGGAAGGCAGGCGGCCACGGCACGAAGAAGCCACGACACGGCGCCCGCTGCCTTGGCACTGCGGACACACTGCCTGCTGCCTTCCGTTGTCCCGTGTGCCCCGTCGCCCCTCGCTCGAGGGGTCCTGCGCCTACCAGTCTTCGGGTGTTGCTAGAAGTGCCCCTGGCCCAAGGTGCCCCCAGCTTTTCGCTCCGTTTTGGAGCCCCTGGGGCCCTCTGGGCCTCGTAAGGGGTGCCCTGGAGGCCGCCTTGGCCACCCCGAGAATCCTGGGGGTACCTTGGGCCAGGGGCACTTCTAGCAACACCCGACCAGTGTGCACCGCGGAGGCGTGAAAACACATCTCCGGCCTGAGCGCCAGCCTAGGCAACGTGACACCCAACTACTCATAGAAGATCCGCCGCCATGCCCCCTGGCACAATGATCGGGGACGAGCGCGGGGGAAGTGGGGAGGAGAAAGCCCTGTCAGAAGGCGGCGGGGCTTCTCAAAAGCCCTCTGGCCTTCTGAGAAGTTCATTGTGTCTCCCGAGAAGGCGTAGAAAACTTCTCAGAAGGCCGGGGGACTTCTGAGCCTTCTGAGAGGGCCCGCCCCTTCTCACTTCCTCCCCTCGCTCGCCGCCGAATTGAGGCGTGCTGGAATGCCAAGTGCT